CCGCCGTGCCGCCGGGGCGGGCGCGACCGGCGGGGTAGGGCGTCAGTTGCGAGGTCCCTGGCGCCGCACCGTTGCGGCAAGGGGGGCCGGTGCAGCGTTTTATTGAGGGCAGCAGCCGCGGCCCAGGCGCCCGTGTACTGTCTGCTGTGCAGCCGTCAAAGGGCCCGGGGCTAGGTCAACCTGTCTGTGGCCTTGCTGCAGGCAGGGGCTGCACCCGTCAGCACGCCTTTTTCCACACATAGCTTTGAAACTATAAGCAATCTGGCAAACGGCATTTGCCCTCGCGCCCCACCTATTGCAAGCGCCTGAACACGCGCCCCACCCCTCCGGCCCGCTCCGCCCCGCTCGCAGTCTTCGTCGAGGTCCCCCACATGCGCGCCGCCCCCGCCCTCCGCTTCAACGCCGCCGTCCTGCTCTCAAATGCCGTCGCGGCCTTCGCCCTGAACCTGGCTGTCTTCCTGCTGATCGGCAAGACGAGCGCGCTCACCATGAACATCGCGGGCGTCATCAAGGACTGGGCGCTCATCTTCTTCAGCTGGGCGCTGTTCCACGCGCCGGTCACCACGCTCAACCTCGTCGGTTACGTCTTCTGCTGCTCGTGAGCGTTCGCGCGGCTGAGGGAGCTGCTTGTCAGGCTGTTGCGTAGGGTCATAGGGGAGCTGCATGTGGACATTGTTTAGGGTTTTTGGCGGGGGGTGCTGAGCTGCTTTGTGAGGGGGCGGGGCGGACAGGGAAAATGGGTTGTTGATGGGCGGCTGGCGTTTTTCGGGTGGGACGCGCTTCTCGGGAGCCTTTGATGGGCTCTGTTGGGTGCTTGCGGCCTCTCCGTTGGCCTCTCGGGCACCCAGGGGTTCTGGGAGCCAGGGAGTTCAAGTTGTGGGGTGCATGATTATGTCGAGGAGTACAGGGCCTTCTGGGGTGTCTGGCCAAGGGTAGGCCTCGGACAGACCTTGGACCGCGGCCTTCATTTGGCGGCAGAGCCTGCCCAACTCTGGCGTCGCGGGGTGCGGAGTTTGGGGGTTGGGGGCCGGGGGCGGCACTGCAGGGGCTTGCGACGGCGGCTGACGGCTGCATGAGTGTGCCCTTTCCCACGCCTTGCAACACTACTGACCCCGTATAACATTGCATACCCATATGTGACCCACCTTTCCTCAGGGGTGTGGTTTGGTACAACCACCTGAAGCTGAGAGAAATAAAGCAGCGCGTTGCCAAGCAGCACTCGGGCGGCGGCGGCGGCGTCCTGCCGACGACGGCGGGCGCGGCGGGCGGCGCGGCGGCGCGCGGCAAGGCGCGCGGCAGCAGCGACGACGAGGAGCGGCAGCCGCTGGTCGACGTTGTCGTCACTCACAGGTGGGTGGTGGTGTCCGGGTCCTGGATTAGCGTATAGAAACAAATTACTACGCTGGGTTGTTGGCGATTATTGTGCTCATGACGTTCTCGGCAGCCATGAAGACTGCGTGGGCTTTCCTCTGGCTCGGCTGGTTCTGCAGCTCTTGGGTCCCCCGCAGGCCCTGCCCGTTCTTTGCCGTGCAACAGCAGTGTGGTGCAGCCAGGTTTTTGTTCCGCTTGCTTGGCCCATGCAACAGCTTTTGCGCAACCGGGGTTTTGCTCTGCGTGCTAAACCCTGGACCCTGCAGGAGCAAGGGCGAGATCCTGTCGGAGATCCGGCGGCTGCAGGAGGAGATGGAGCAGATTGACCAGCGCGTCATGGGGGCAAGCAGCAACCGCCTAGGGCTGGCCAACCTCGGAGCCTCCGAATCGGGCCTCGGCGGCGGCGGCGGTGCGGAGCCGGGCAGCGCGCCGGCGGTTGGCTTGGCGGCGAGCAGCAGCGGCAACAACAGCAGCAGCAGCAGTGCACTCAATGGGCTGTGGGCGTCGGCCGGGGAGCTGAAGAGCCGCGGGGCGGCGCAGGCGGCCGGGGCGGTGGACGGCGGCAGCGGGTTGAGAGTGGTGGTGCCGCCAGTGTCGCTAGACGTCTCGAGCAAGGACGCTTGACCGGATTGCTGAAGGCGCACCTTTCCCGGCCGCATCTGCGGCTGCATTGCTGCTCTTTTGAGAGTGTACGTGTTGTGGGCCCCTGTGTCCTCGTGTTTTTGCTCAACTTCGTGCAATCGGTAGTATTCTATTACAGGTCAGACACACAGTGTTATTTGGCATTGTGCCTTGAGCTCCCCCAAATAAAGGGTGCAGTACGCAGCTGCCCTGGACACGTGCCAACCCCCCTTCCGCCACTAACGAAACCAATTTCGGGCCCAGTCCCATTTTTTGCCACTCATTATGACTATGCTGGCCGGTGCCAAGCAAGATGCATTCCTTTACAGCGGAGGCACGGCTCTCTGTAACTGCACAGGTGCACTCTTGGATGTCAGAAAGTGGGGGCATTTTATGGCAGTGCCCCGGGGCAAAAAAGGGTGCAGCTAAGCCACATTCGTCAGGACGCGAGCCCCGGACTAGTCGGGCACCACACCATCAGAAGCCAACACCAACAACGCACCACCAACGATGTGGCCGACTATGGTGAGCCCTGAAGTAAACGTGGCAAATTGCTGGCGCAAGCCGCTTTGAAGCTGCACTGCTCCCTCGCCGCAGCACCTTGCCTGCAAGACTAGGCACTGGAAGCACATCCTCTTGTGGTTTAGCGCAGGTGAGGACCCTTGCTGACTGGCGACTCACAACGCCATATAACCGCTGTGATGGAACAGCTTATGCTGAATTTGGCCATCATACAATACTACACTGGAGCATAACAACCGCGTCGGATGAAACAAAGTGCCCGCCAAGCATGCAGCGTGCATGCAAGTACCGTGCCCGCCAAGCTGCACATGGCACGCGTTGCAGCAGGTGCTGCTTTCGCCCCTCCACGCGGGCAACATCCGCGACGGTCAACACCCGCCTGGGCCGCGACGTGCAGCCACGCCGTCCATCCAGGTCTTAACGAGGCCCGCGTCCCCCGCCCCACACGCGCGCCGCAGCTGCCTGTAGTCGAAGGCCAAAAAGAGCAGGCAGTCTGCGGGCGCCGCCGTTGCCGCCTTGACCGCGGTCAATACAGCGCACAGCCGCCCGGTCGGCAGGCGCAGTGCGTCGGCGGCCCTCTCAACTTCCTGGGCCACCTGTGCCGCTGCAAGGGCCGCCCCCGCAGCAGCGGCGGCTTTGCTGCCTGTGATGTCGGGCGCTGCAATGTCGGGCAGGCCGAGAGCTGCCAGGGCGGCGGCAGCTGAGGTGCCTGGGCCCACAGTGGCAGTTGTGGCTCCGCCGCCCGAGGCGGCGGCGGCCGCCGCCGCAGCTGCTTCGGTTTTTGCGTCGCCGGCCGCGGTGGCGGCGGGCGCCCGCTCAGGACGAGGCGGGGTGCCTGCTGTCGCAGGCAGCTGCATCTGGATGGGCCCAGGGACCCGCGTGGACGGGCCGGCCGCGGCAAGCCTCTTCACGCTTCTGTCAGCAGCGCCTGCTGCGCTCATGCTCGTGCGCGGTCGCTTGCGCCGGCCGCTCTGCTGGTCTGTGGCGATGCCACGGGCATCCTGTGGGGACAGCTGACCGCCCTGGGCTTCCTCTTCTCTGACGAGCGGCTGCTGATGGTCCTGCTGCTGCTTTTCCCGCTGCTGCCCTTGATGCTGCTGCTGCTCCTGCTCTTGCTGTTGCTGCTGCGGCTTCGGCTCCTTCACCTCCTCCTCCTCCTCCTGATCCTGCTGCTGCTGCTGCTGCTGCTGCTGCTGCTGCTGCTGCTGCTGCTGCTGCTGCTGCTGCTGCTGCTGCTGCTGCTGCTGCTGCTGCTGCTGCTGCTGCTGCTGCTGCTGCTGCTGCTGCTGCTGCTGCTGCTGGACCGCCATGCCGTGGCTGCCGCCACGCTTGCCTTCAGCCACCGCAACACCCGCGGCAGCGGGTGCGCTGGTGTGCACCTCGATGGCGGTAGGCCCCACCAGCCGGAAGCGGGTGATGACGGCGCTGGCGGCCAGTGGCAGTGATCCCCCAAAGGTGTGAAGTCCAAATCTGAAGGAATGCCCATTGCCTTTCAAAAAACGGGCGATCCGCCCCTGCAGCGCCACGCCGCGTGGCTGGCCGTCCACCACCGCCTGCACACTGACAGCCAGAGGGAAGGAGGCGTCCGGCCACCAAGCCGCCACCATCGCTGGGGGAGGCGCGAGCCGTCGCTGAATCTTCTTCACAGGGCTGGGACTGACGCGGGCGAGCTGGCGCGGGGCAATTCAGCAGATGCATACAAGCTCATTAAAGCTGGCATTGTGCTGCAGATGTGCAAGCGGGACAACAGGATGTCGTGGGTCGGCGAGGCAACGGCCATCCAGAATCACACACACGCGCCTATTGACCGCAAACACAAGTCACTGAGGCCCTTACCACTGGCCAGGCGTTTGGCTCAAGGTCTTGCGGCTCCAGCTGGCGACACACACCCAGGCGCGCAATTTCCCCGGAGTCGCCGGGTCCTGGCAAGCTAGACACTACCAGGTCCAGCGCGGCCGGGCCGAGGGCGCGCCGAAACGCGGTGACGTGGCAGCCGTCGAGCTCTGGGAAGCGATGACATCCTCGGCCCATGAAGAACGACTTGGTGATGCGGCTGTCGAACCTGTCCCCCCAGGGGTGGCCGTCCACCTCCAGCTGCAGGCTGACGTCGAGGGGCAGCGGCGCGCCGGGGAACCAGGCGGCCAGCAGTCCCTTGGGGACACTCACATGAGCCGTAAGGCCTCTGCTGTGCCCACATGGCGGCCTCATCACAAGTTTCTGGAACTGCAATACATGAGAAGAGGTACATTCAAGCATAAGAAGATGGGGCATGTGAGCAAGCAGAGTTTCGGGACTGCATTGAGCTGCATGAGCACAGAGGTTGCTGCGAGTGGCCCGCCAGTGAAACATCAGTTGAAGGGCCCCCTCACCGTTTGCCAAAGGGCCCCCTCCCGTCCAGCACTGCTGCCGCCGTCCTGCGGGGATGCTGCTGCTGCTGGAGCAGCACGCCTCTGCTGCCGCGGCTCCGGCGTGCCGCCGCCCTCGTCCTCCCCTTCGTCCTCCTCCCCGCCATACCCGCTGGCATCAGGGTCAGAGCCGCTGCTGCCGTCGCTGTCAGCACCGCTGCTGTTCCTGCCGTGGCTGGTCCCCGCGCTGCTGTCCTCCTCACGCCCGCTGGGCGTGCCGTGCCGCGCCTCGGCCGCAGCGCACCGGCTGATGCGGGCGCCGGCCGCCTGTGCTGCTGCACGCCGCGGGCGCGCGGCTAGCGGCTGTGGGGCCGGGGTGGCGCCGCTGTTCAAACAGTGCTGCAGAGGGAGCGCAGCGGTGGCCTGCTCCTGGGTGGGTGCATCGGTGTCGCTCAGACTGGGCTGAGCCCCGAGCCGCACCATCTTGCTGACCTGCGCCTCATCCAATGCGCCGCTACAGTTGGCGCGCTGCTGCTGTATCTGTGCTGGATCTAAGCTGCGTTTTATGCGCATAGCTGTGTCTTTTGTATAATGCCGCTCGTGAAGACCGCAAAAAGTGCTGCCTCGGCCCCAGCGTGAGATCAGACGCTGAGATCGATCGTGTGTGGGTCTGCGGCAAGATTGTCACGCCAGTGCGTCGAAAGTTCGCAGAAAAATACGATTTTGTGATACACCCTGCATTTGCGAGGGAAGGAGCATCACAATCCCAAAATCAGGTCAACGAATGGTTGGCAGTCCGCAATTGTGCGTGGTGCATCAGCATGCTGGCTGGTAGGTGCTTGCGACAAACCAGGTGCTGGTGATGGTGGATGTCATATGATCTATCTAAACATGTGCCCTTGACAAATGGGCCTCAATGTCAGCAGCGCGATGAAAGCAGGTGACGCGCAGTGCTGCCTGCGCCGTGCTCGGCAGCAGCAGCAGCGGCGGCGGCGGCGGCGGAAGCGGCGCTGCTCTCAATGGGCTATCATCCCGCGTCAACGTGTTTGGGGTAAGGGACAGCAGGTAAGGTAGGTGCTAGGCGGGCGCGGGCGGCCAGCAGTGGCTGTGTGCGTCGGCGGGCGGGCTGAAGAGCCGCGGGGCGGCGCAGGCGGCTGTGGCGGTGGATGGTGGGTACGGCTTGAGGGGTTGTGGTGCCGCCGGAGTGGTCACACGTCTCGAGCAAGAATGCTTGAGGAGAGTATGCCGCAGGCGCTCCTTCCCAGCCACACCTGCGGCTGCATTGCTGCCCTCTTGACAGTGTCCGCGCGTTGTTGCTCACCCTTTGTGCAAGTGGTGCTATCACCACACAGGTCAGACACTCAGTGTCGTTCGGCATTGTGCCTTGGGCTCTCCCAAATAAAGGGTGCAGTACGCAGCTGCCCTGGACACATGCCAAACCCCTTCTGCCTCCAAGGGAACCAATTCCCGCCCCAACCCTACCTTTTGCAACTCACCATGACTGTGCTGGCTGGTGCCAAGAAAGATGCATTCCGTAATGGCAGAGGCAAGGCTCTCTGGAACCACACGTGTCTGGATGTGACAGCTTGGAGCAGCTTCAAGGCAGTGCCCTAAGGCGGATCAAGATGCAGCCGACACAGACCCAAAACTGCCCTGAACTTGTGGGATACCGAAGCCAACGACGCAAGCAACCAGCAACGCACCACAACAAATGCGGCTGTGATGCTCACCAGAGTCACGTAACAAGTCTATGCGGACCGCCTTGAAACGGCCCCGCTCGGCCAACCCAGCGCCTCAGAAACAAGCTATCTGTGCCTTGACGCATGCATGATGACCCTTACTGACTGTCAATGAGTCAAACCACAACATCCTGTACAGGCTGGATGGAAAAATTTTTCAAAAACATACAACAAGATCAAACCAGACAGGGCAAAAGCGGCACGGATTGACACAGGCGGTTAAACATGCACAGGAGCGAGCGCCGCGCCCGTTGAGCTGCCTAGCCATATGTGCTGCCCGACTCGCAACATTGGCGGGGACACGAAAAGCGAGGCGGCAGGCAATGCTGTCGTGCCCCCCCTTGGGCATCACCCGCTGCCGCCGCACCCGTCTGGGCCGAGACGCGCAGCCACGCCCTCCATCCAGGCCCTCACCAGGGCCGCGTCCCCCGCCCCGCACGCGCGCCGCAGCCGCCTGTAGTCAAAGGCCAGGAAGCGCAGGCAGCTTGCAGGCGCCGCCGTCGCCGCCTCGACCGCGGCCAACACGGCAAACAGTTCGCCGGCCGGAAGGCCTAGCGCATCTGCGGCCCTCTCCACCTCCCCAGCCACCTGCGCCGCCGCGACCGCTGCACCCGCCGCAGCGCCGGCGGCGCCGCCCAGGACATCGGGAGCTGCAATGTCGGGCAGGCCGAGGGCGGCCAGGGCGGCGGCAGCCGAGGCGCGTGGGCCCACGGTGGCGGTTGTGGCTCCGCCGCCCGAGGCAGCGGCGCCAGGGACGGCGGCAACCGCTGCCGCTGCTGCTTCGGTCTCCGCGCCGTCGGCCACGGTGGCGGCAGGCGCCTGCTGGGGGCGAGCAGCCGGGCCGCTGGTGGGTTTGGGCCAACAGTCATCCCCCTTAGGGCGGTTGAGGTCACACGGCAGATGGGTCGATGGAGCGACACGCAATCACCGGGGTCTGTGACCTTCGGGCCCTTGCGAGGCAATCCGGCACACAGCGCGTTGGTCAATGCGCGGAGCAGGTGCAGGCGAGCGAGAGGCGAGCGCTCCGCCGCGGCGCGCGCCTGCGTGTGCGCCTCTGTAGCGTCCTCGACGCACTGCTCGACAGCGGCAGCGATGACGGTGGCCGCCGTCTCGATCCCACTAAACAACTGCTCTTGAGGAACACGATTGCGGACGTGTGTGAAGCCGAATCGCAGCCTGCGGCCCTGTCGGGTCTGGTGAATAGCCACGCGGCAGTGTTGCAGCATGGTCTCCACATGGGGGTGCTGCGTAGGGTCCTGGAGCTTCGCGAGGACGGCTGTCTTGAGCTCGACCATCTGCTCAGAGCACCACAAATCGAAAACAGGAGAGTGGGTGAGGGTAGGGGGTCGGCGCAACTGGCCCCGCTGCAGAGCTCATGAATTCCTGGCGCGCAGCCCCACCAATGGTGCACCCAGCTGCAACGCGTAGGCATGGCTGGAGTTCTTGAGCTGTCTCGGACGCTCTGATGGTCTGTCACGTGCAGCCCCGTGCTCAATGAGGGCGCACGGTGCACCAGTCCGCAGCACGTGCGGCACCCACCTTTGCGGCCATTTTCTCTTGCGTTTCGCTGTCTGCAGTGGCATCTGCACGTGGACGGCCTGCAAACGGTGCGAGGTGCGCAGGGTGCAGGTCACGGCGCGGGCATCGCATCAACGGCAAGTGCTGCGCCGCGTGCACGACAGCTACAGCACACTGCCCTGGCGAGCTAGTGCGGCCACCACGCCACAAACGTGTGCATATCCATAACCAACTCCTCGCTGATTGGGCGTTCACCACCGGCCTTGCGCGCAGGGCCGGGCGTGTCGTGGCTGGTCCCTTTGCTGCCGCCGTCTTCCTCACGCCCGCTGGGCGTGCCGGGCCGTGCCTCGGCCGCGGCGCAGCGGCTGACCCGGGCGCCGGCCGCCTGTGCCGCCTCACGCCGCGGGCCTGCCACTAGCGGCAACGGGGCCGGGGTGGCGGCGGCTTCTGAACAGCGCTGCAGGGGGCGCTGAAAGGTGGCCTGCTCCTGGGTGGCTGCGTCGCTGTCGCACAGACTGGGCTGAGCCTCGAGCTGCACCCGCTTGCTGACCTGCGCCTCATCCGATGCGCCGCTACAATCGGCACGCTGCTGCTGTACCTGTGCTGGATCTAAGCTGCGTTTGATGCGCATAGCTGCCTATGTTATATGTTCCAGCTCTTGTGGACCGCAAAAAGTACTGCCTCGGTGTCAGCGTGAGATCAGATGCCGAGATCGATCGTGTGGGTCTACGGCAGGATTGTGATGCCGGTGCGTCGAAAGCTCGCAGAAATAAAATATAGCATGATACACCCCGCATTAATGAGGACGGAGCATCACAATACCAACATTTGGTCGCCGCAGTGTTGGCCATCCGCTCCTGTGCGTGGTGCGTCAGCATGCTGGCTGGCAGGTGCTTGCGACAAACCAGGTGCTGGTGATGGTGGATGCCACATGATCTATCTAAACATGTGCCCTTGACAAATGGGCCTCAATGTCAGCAGCGCGATGAAAGCAGGTGACGCGCAGTGCTGCCTGCGCCGTGCTCAGCAGCAGCAGCAGCACCAGCAGCAGCAGCAGCAGCAGCAGCAGCAGCGGCGGCAGCAGCAGCAGCAGCAGCGGCGGCGGCGGACGCGGCTGCGGACGAGGCGCTCAATGGGCTATCATCTCGCGTCAACGTGTTTGGGGAAAGGGGACAGCAGGTAGGGTAGGTGCTAGGCGGGCGCGGGCAGCCGGCAGCGGCTGTGTGCGTCGGCGGGCGAGCTGAAGAGCCGCGGGGCGGCGCAGGCCGCTGCGGCCGTGGACGGCTGCGGCGGCTCAACCGCTGGTAGCGCCGCTGGTGTCGGCAGACATTCTGAGCAAGGGCGCGTGAGCGGAGCTTGCCTGAGGCTGGCCTTCCCGCGTCAGCAGCTGCATTGCTGCTCTCTTGAGTGCACATGTGGGCCCCTGTGCCCGTGTTTTTGCTCACGAGCGTCGAATTGGAGTTCTAATCATAGTCAGACACTCAGTGGTTCTTGCACTGTGCCTTCAGCTGCCCCAAATCAAGTGGCGCAGCAAGCAGCTGGACTGGGCACGTGCCATCGCCCTTCCGCCACAATGCGAACCAACTTCGACCCCGACACCATTTTCCGCCACTCATCATTACTATGCTGCTGACTGGTGCCAAGCAAGATACGTTTCATAATGACGGGGGCATGGCTCTCCGTAACCACACATGTTTGGATGAAAGAGCATGGAGCAGCTTCAAGGCAGTGCCCTTGGGCAAGTTGGGCTGCAACCAAGCCAGACCCAAAAGTGCCCTGGACTTGTGGCTTACCACACCAACAGAAGCCAACAATGCAGACAGCCATCAACGCAACACCAACACCGTGGCTATGATGCGCACCAAACTGAATGTGATAAGTGGTTGCAGGCTCCATTGAAACGGCCCTGCTCGGTCAGCCCCAGCGCTCTGCCTCAGAGACTAGGGCTTGAGAGCACAGTCCTGCACGTGTAAGCGTAAAGGTGCCTTCACCTTGCAGAGTGCCAAGTAACAACACCTTGGAAAGGCTGGGGAGGGAGAGCTGATGGTGGAGGTGGGCATGATGAGGTGAAATGACAAAGCAAAAAAACCATCATTGGAAGAGCCCGCTCAGCATGCAGAGCTGCGAGCGCCGCGTCAAGCTGCCAAATCTAAACACGCCGGCAGAGAGACGACAGTGGCAGGGACGCAGCATGAATGGCAGCAGGCGATGTTGTTGTGCCAGCCCCGAGGGGGCGTCACCCGCGGCCGCCAGTTCCGTCCGGGCTGTACCGTGCAGCCATGCCCTCCATCCAGGTCTTAACGAGGCCCGCGTCCCCCGCACGGCACGCGCGCCGCAGCCGCCGGTAGTCAAAGGCCAAGAAGCGCAGGCAGCTTGCAGGCGCCGCCGTCGCCGCCTCGACCGCGGTCAACACGGCAAACAGCTCGCCGGCCGGCAGCCTGAGCGCGTCTGCGGCCCTCTCAACCTCCTCAGCCACCTGCGAAGCCGCGACCGCCGCCCCTACCGCAGCAGCAGCGTCGCTGCCTGTCATTTCGGGCACTGCAATGTCCGGCAGGCCGAGAGTGGCCAGGGCGGTGGTCACCGAGGCGGCTGGGCTAACGGTGGCAACCCCACCGCCCAAGGCGGCGGCACCAGGGGCGGCGGCCGCTGCTGCTGCTTTGGTCTCCAAACCATTGACCTCGGAGGCGGCGGGCGCCTGCTCCTGACCAGCAGGCGGCGCCCTTACTGCGGGAGACAGATGCCACTGGACGGGCCCGGAGGCCTGCGTGGGCGGGCTGATTGCGGCGCGCCTCTTCGCGCCTCTGGTGGCAGCGTTTGCTGCACACGTGCGCGGTCCCTTGCGCGGGCCGACCTGCTCGTCGGCAACGATGCGACGGGCATCCTGTGGGGATAGCAGACCGCCCTCGGACTCCTGCTGCTGATGATGGCCCTGCTGTTGCTCTTGCTGATACTGCTGTTGCTGCTGCTGATACTGCTGTTGCTGCGGCTGCGGCGGCGGCAGCGGCAGCAGCTGCGGGTGCGGCTGCTGCTGCTGCGGCTCCTGCTGCTCCTGCTGCTGCTGTTGCTGCTGCTGCTGCTGCTGCTGCTGCTGCTGCTGCTGCTGCTGCGGCTCCTGCTGCTGCTGTTGCTGCTGCTGCTGCTGCTGCTGCTGCTGCTGAACCACCACGCCTTGGCTGCCGCCACGCTCACCTTCAACCGCTGCAACACCCGTGGCTGTGGGTGCGCCGGCGTGCACCTCGATGGCAGCAGGCCCCGCCAGCCGGAAACGGGTGATGATGGTGCCGGGTGCCAATGGCAATGTTGCCCCCAGCGTGTAAAGTCTGAACGCAAAGGGATACCCAGTCTTTTTGCAAGCGCGGGTAATTTGGCCCTGCAGCGGCGCCCCACGCGGCTGACCGCCCACCACTGCCTGCACATTCACGACCACCGGGAAGGAGGCGCTTGGCCACCAAGCTGCCACCATTGCAGGGGCCAGAGAAAGCCGTCGCTGAGTCTTCTTCATTGGGCTTGAAGTGAAACGGGCAAACTGGTGTGGGGGAATTCAGCAGACATGTTTGAGCTTGCGAAAGCTGGTGGCGTGCTGCAAACGTACATTCAAAACAACAAAGGATTTTGTCGATTGGCAATGCGATGACCACCATCCAGAATCTCGCTCTCCCTCTCTCTCTCTCACACAAACACACACGCACACGCACACACACGCACACACGCACGCACACACACGCACACACGCACGCACGCACACACATACGCACACACACACACGCACACGCACACACACTCACACACACAAACACACGCACGCACGCACGCACACTCACACACACACACACACACACACGCACGCACGCATACACGCACACGCACACACACACACACACATGCACACATGCACACGCGCGTATGAAGACCGCTGACAAGGGCCACTGAGTCCCTCACCACTGGCCAGGCGTTTGGCTCAAGATCTTCCGGCTCCAACGGGCGGAGCACACCCCTGCGGGCCGCTCCCTTGGCGTCCCGTCGCCCTGTCAGGCTGGATACTACCAGGTCAATTGCAGCAGGCCCTGCTGCGCGCCGAAACGCGCCAACGCGGCAGCCGTCCAGCTCGTGAATGCAAGGCCAGCCTTGGCTGATGAAGAGTGACTTGGTGATGCGGGTGTCGAAGCGCGGCCCCCAGGGGTGGCCGTCCACCTCCAGCTGCAGGCTGATGTCCAGGGGCAGGGGCGCGCTGGGGAACCAGGCGGCCAGCAGCGCCTTGGGGACACTCACTTGTGCCGTATGGCCACCTCTGTTATGCGCTTCCGGCGGCTCCACCACAAGTGCCTGGAACTGCAATGATACGTTGGAAGAGGTATATTCACGTCTAATAAGATGGATGCTGTGAGCAAACAAGGTTTTGAGACAGCTTCAGGCTGCATGAGCACCGAGGAGGCCCACCAGGAATCCATATGGTTGAAGGCGCCCCTCACCGTTTGCCAAAGGGCTCCCTCCTGCCCGACAGTGCTGTCGCCATCCCGTGGCGATGCTGCTGCTGCTGCTGCGGCTGCTGCTGATGCTGCTGCTGCTGCTACTGCTACTGCACGCCTCCGCTCCCGCGGCTCCGGCGAGGCGCCGCCCTCGTCCTCCTCTTTGTCCTCCACCTCGCTAAGCCCTCTCGCGTCAGGGTCAGAGCCGCTGCTGCCGTCATTACCTCCGTCGCTGCCTTCGCTGCCGTGGCTGGTCGCCGCGCTGCTGCCGTCGTCCTCACGCCCGCCGGGCGTGCGATGCCGCGCCTCAGCCGCGGCGCAGCGGCTGATGCGGGCGCCGGCCGCCTGTGCTGCCGCACGACGCGGGCGCGCGGGTAGCGGCAGTGGGGCCGGGGTGGCGCCGGCGTTCAAACAGTGCTGCAGGGGGCGCTGAGAGGTGGCCTGCTCCTGGGTGGCTGCGTCGTTGTCGCTCAGACTGGGGTGAGCCTCGAGCCGCATCCGCTTGCGGACCTGCGCCTCATCCCACATGCCGCTGTGATCGGCACGCTGCTGTACAGTTGCTGGGTCCAAGCTGCGTTTGCTGCGCATAGCTGCGTATGTTGTATAATGCGGCTCGTAAAGACATCGACCGCAAAACAAGCTGCTCAATCCCAGCGTGAGATCAGATGCTGAGATTGATCTTATGGGCGTCTGCGGCAGGATTATCACGTTGAAATCGGAGGCAGACTTTCAAAAGTAATGACGCGTTTTGGACGCATCCGCGATTGAAGGGGCATTGCAGCCCCATAATTTGGTCTTGCTGCAGTCCGCACTTTGACATGCTGTGTCAGCATGCTGGCTGACAGTTACTCACACCGAACCAGGTACTGGTCATGGTGGATACCACGTGCTCTGTCTAAACATGGAGCCTTGAAAACGCGCCTCGACGTCAGCAGCGCCACGCGTGGAAGCAGGTGAAACACATCAACACAGTGCTGCCTGCCCTGCGCTGAGCAGCAGCAGCGGCAGCAGCAGTGGCTGTGGCGGCGGCACTGGCAGTGGCGGCAGCGGCGCTAACGGGCTTTCATCACGCAACAGCGGGGTGCCGTCAGGGGAATGGTAGCAGGAAAGGGGCACAGCCGGCAACGGAGGCTGGCGATGGAAGCTTGTTGCCGATAATGCTGCCTCTCTCACAGAGCGCATGACAGTGGCAAGTAAGACCATCAAGCAAGCAGACAGTGGCAAGATGCTTGTGCTGCATGGCAGGCTCCCAACTCCAAGAAGCGACCACACCTGACGGTATTGTGCTACTCATTGTTCATGGTCAGCTGGGACACATTCCAGGCCCTTTCGCTTGGCAGCATAACACTGCATCGCTTGTGCAGTTGAGATACCTTGCACAGAATCAGTGTACCAAGGCAGCGTTCAACACGCCCCAAGCTGCAACCAGCACAGTGAGCAGCTGCACATGCACACCTCTGCCTGTGCCCTTCTGCCACCGATTGTACCAAGATGGGGCCCAAGACAAGATCAATCTATGCTAATGACATCTGCTGCGTGATGCGGACCATGGTGCACGTCTACATGGCCAGAACGTTTTACAACTGCAAGCGAGCCGCATGTACAACATCACAAGCAACCACCACCAATGAACAAATCCAATGCGGCACGTCAGGTGTGGCCATCGAACGCGGGCCACCCAGCGCTCACCCTGCTGGGGCAAGCCCCGCCCGCCAGCCCCCCTGCTGCACGATCACACCGACTACAGTAATCTCCCCATGGTCACATTCTTCTTCGGGCGCGCGCCGCCATGTCCTCCATCCACTTGCGCGCCGCCGCCTCCCGCCCCGCCGCGCATGCCGCCTGCAGCCGCCAGTAATACATGCCAATGAACTTGAGGCAGCCGGCCGCGTCCAAGGTTGCCGCCTCCACTGCGTCGCATACCGCATCCAGCTGCTCAGGGGCCAGCCCCAGCGCCCCTGCCGCCCTTGCCACCTCACCATAGGCCTGAGTGGCCGCGTCTGCCAGGGCCAGGGCGCGGTCTGGGCAGTTGGGAGGCGGCACTGCGATTTGGGGCATATTGAGCGCGACCAGTGCAGCAGGCGTGTTGGCAAGCTGGCTGGCAGCGCCGCTGGAGATGACGCAGCCAGCGGCGTTGCCAAGCTGCTGCTGCTGCTGCTGCTGCTGCTGCTGCTGCTGCTGCTGCTGCTGCTGCTGCTGCTGCTGCTGCTGCTCTTTCTGCTGTTGCTCCTGCTGTTGCTGCTGCTGCTGCTGCTGCTGCTGCTGCTGCTGCTGCTGCTGCTGCTGCTGCTGCTGCTGCTGCTGCTGCTGCTGCTGCTGCTGCTGTTGCTGCTGCTGCTGCTGCTGCTGCTGCTGCTGCTGCTGCTGATCTCGCTGCTGCTGCTGCTGCTCCTGCTGCTGCTGCGCAGCCGCTGGACCTGCTGGCTGCGGCACTTGCATGCTCCCGGCTGCAACAGCCGTGGCCGGAACCTCCGGCAGACCTGCTGTTGCACTCTGGACCACGCCGCCTCCGCGCCGCCCCTGTGCGGCCACCGTCGCCACTGCCGCGCCCAGCTGTGTGATTGCAGTCCCACCAGGCTGCAAGCTGGCCCTGGCCGTGGCCCCTTTCTGGCAGCTGCCAGCAGCCGCTGACGGTGCCTGCGCTACCACCGCCTCCTCCACCAACACCAGCTGCTGCCGCAGGGGCCCTGGCCGTGGTGACGCTGCCGCCGGTGCTGTCACTGTGGTATGTGCAGAGCGCGCGACAGGCTCTGCACCTGTTTGAAGGCTGGTCTGGCATGCCCCAGGCCTGCTGAGCTCACCCTTCTGCCCCTGGTGGTTTTGCTGCACACCCTGCCCCTCCTGGCTTTGCTGCTCCCCAACAACCTCACGCGCGTTGCCGCCGGCCGGCGCCTCCGGCTGGCGCGCCCGCACCTGCTGCCCCTGCGGGCAGCAGCCTGGCCCAGGCGCGGCCGCCGCCGCAGCCACCGCGGCGGCCGAGGCGCCGTTGGCCGCGGCGCAAGTGGCGTGCACCTCGATGGTGCCTGAGGCGGCCAGACGGTAGCGCGTGATGATTGCGCCTGGGGGCAGAAGTATCATCCCAGTGGGTACACGAAGCGCGTATCTGACGCGTTTTGACGCTGCGCGCTGCCGGAAATTGCGTAAGACAGTCCGCCGCAGTGGTGCGCCGTACGGCTGGCCGTCCACGAGTGCCTGCACGCTGACTTTCAGCGGGAATGAGGCCTCCGGCCAGCAAGCCGCCACCATGGCGGCTGGCAGATTCAGCTCCCACCGACGGACTGCTTGAGGGCTGGGGATGATTTTGGCACCCTGGAGTGGGGCCGGTCAGGGTGAGAGGCGGGTGCCTGCAGTATCCCAACGCAAACAACGCGCAGTGCAAGGCGAAGCCTGCGGCCCGGCCCCTAATTAGGCGGGCACCAGTGCTGGACCCCGAACACGCACAGGCACGCAGTGCCAAAATTACACGAGGTTCTCACGACAGGCCACGTGTTTGGCGCGAGGTCTTCCGGCTCCAGCAGGCGGCGCAGGCCGCAGCGCTTTGCCCCGCTGGCTTCCCGCTGGTCCCTCATGCTGGACAACATCAGGTCCATTGCAGCAGGCCCTGCTGCGCGCCGAAAGGCGGTGACATGGCAGCCCTCCAGCTCAGCAAACTGCCGCAGGCCCTTGGTCATCCAGCGTGACTTGCTGACGCGGCTGTCGAACCTGTCTCCCCAGGGGTGGCCGTCCACCTCCAGCTGCAGGTTGACGTCGAGTGGCAGGGGCGCGCCAGGGAACCAGGTGGCCAGAAGCCCAGCTGGCACCAACAGGCGAGCCGATCGGTCCAATGGGCTGGCAGTGAACCTCTGAAACTGCATCACGGAATTGGATAATGCAATGCATGGCATGAGTTTGGTCAAGATTTGAAGCGGCAAGTGTGGGATGCTGCAATCCTGGCGCCCACCACAGCGCTGAGTTCATAGGTGTGGCCCCGGTGCCATTGTCTCACCGTCTGCCAGAGCACGCCAGGTGGCAACCCTGTCCTCTGGCGGCTCTCCACCTGCAGGAGTGCCGGCTTGCTGATGTTACCTGTAGATAGTCTTCATCCGGCAAAACAGCTCGAGTCATTGGTGGCTGAGCAGAAACCCCTCGAACAGCCCGCGCATGCCCGTGCAGGATTTGTTTATCAGCGTCCATTGTGGTCAACTCCGCAACGTGGTGGGGATGCACAAGTCTGTCCAAGACATCTTCCTACGTCATCCCCGTCCCACCTGCTCGCTGCTCTCATTGGTGCCCTCCGCCCCGCTGGCCCGGCTGACCCCGCTCGCATCCGGATCGGACCCACCGCCGCTGCCGCTGCCATCGCCGCTGCTGCCCTCGTCGCTGATTGCTCCGCTGCTGCTGGGCTCCGTCTCAACCTCAGAGCAGCCCCTGCCCTGCGCCTCGGCGGCCGCATCGCTGTGAATGCGCGCGAGGGCGGCCTGCGCAGCCGCGCGCCGCGGCGGGCGCTGCCGGTATCGCGCAGGCGGCGCGATCAGCTGCAATGCGCCCTGCTGCAGCTCTGTGTAATCTACAAGCTGCTGCTGCTGCTGGCCTGGGCGGTCACCGCCCAGCTGTGGCTCCAAAGGGGACTCGAGGCCGCCAAGCCGCGGGCGCTTCTGCAGACCCTGCGCTACATCCGTGCCGCTGCGGCCGCGCACGCTGCCAGGCTGGGTATCAAGTCGATTCATTTCATCAGAAGGCTCGCTTTCCCCGATGTGCATTAGTGCTGACGTGCAAGTTCCGTAGCCTCGGAACTTACGCAGATCATTCAGCATGCGAAGGAGAGGGATCTGCGGTGGTGTGACATGTGGCAAAGGGCAGTCGTTTTGTCTTCATGGCGTTGAATTTTGTATGATAGCATTGGCTCTGTCAACGAGATCCAATGGGCGTGGACACATGCCAGACATGGGTCATCCCTCATGGGTGAGAATGTTCCTGCAGCTGGAGCTGCGTGCGGTGGTTGGGTGATGCCTGGACTGGCTATTCCACCCCTACAAGCATTTGATACCCACAGCTGCACAGCTGCAGGCCAATATATACGCGTCTTGCCGTTGCCGCACACTTCCATATGCATATCCCAGACCACAAACCGCGCAGTTCGAGACCACAGAAAGTGCTGCCTCGGCCCCAGCGTGAGATCAGATGGTGAGATCGGTTCGACCATGGAGTCAGTCCTGCCGCAGACGCCCACAACAATCGATCTGAGTGGCAGGATTGACACCTTGGCACGTTGGAGGCTTTCAGCAGAGTGACACCTTGTAGCCGCCTGGGAGTGAGGACAACCTGCGGCCCAGACAGTTGGCCTTCCTACTGTCGGCAGTCTGCGCTTTGGCATGCTGTGTCAGATTGCATGCTGGTAAGGGTGGATACAATGTGCTCTATCTGTCTGGACATGAAGCCTTGAAAACGTGCCTCAAAGTCATCAGTAGCGCTGTGAAAGCAGGCGATGCACAGTGCTGCCTGCGCCGTGCCGGGCAGCAGCAGCAGCAGCAGCAGCAGCTGCAGGAGTAGCAGCAGCAGGAGCAGCAGCGACATCGCAACGGCGGCGGCGGCGGCGGCGGCGCTCAACATGCTACCATCCCGCGTCAACAGGGTTGTGAGAAGGGGATAGCACGTGGGGTAGGCTCCAAGCCGGCGAGGGCGGCTGACGGCGCAAGCTTGTCGTGATGCCGATGCTGCCGCCCCTCTTGACATGCGCCTGCGAGGCAAGGACCGTGCGTGCGCCTGGCGCCCAAACGCTTAAAAAGATGACCTCGCGCCCGATGGCTGTTTTAAAACAGGCACAGTTGCTGCCCGTTGAGCTTGGTCACCTGAACCACCTTCCCGGTCTGTCTGCCTAGCGGCAAAGCTGTGCACTGTTTGTTGAGATGCCTTACTTGCACGCACAGAATCAGTGTACCAAGGCAGCGTTCAGCACGTCCCAAGCTGCGACCAGCAGAGTGAGCAGCTGCACATGCATGACCTCCGCCCATGCCCTTCTGCCACTGATTGCACCAAGATGGGGCCCAAGACCAGCTCAATCCTATACTTCTGACAGTTGCTGCCTGGTGCGGACGACTGTGCACGTGTACAGGGCAACGGCGTTTACAACTGCAAGTAATGGAATCTCCAACATGAAACGCAATAACCACAGGAGTCCGCAAAGTACACAACCCTTGCAGCACGTCCAGTGTGGCCATCAAACACGGGCCGCCCACTGCTCGCCCTGCTGGGGCAGTCACTGCCGGCCCGCTGCGTCGCTGGACGGCCACAATGGCTAACCTGTCCCATGGTCACGTGTTTCTGTGAACGCGCGCAGCCATGTCCTCCATCCACTTGCGCGCCCCCACCTCTCGCCCCGCCGTGCACGCCGCCTGCAGCCGCCAGTAATACATGCCAATGAACTTGAGGCAGCCGGCCGCGTCCAAGGTTGCCGCCTCCACTGCGCCGCATACCGCATCCAGCTGCTCCGGGGGCAGCCCCAGCGCCCCTGCCGCCCTTGCAACCTCACCATAGGCCTGTGTGGCCGCGTCTGCCAGGGCCAGGGCGCGGTCTGGGCAGTTGGGAGGCGGCACTGCGATTTGGGGCAGATTGAGCGCGACCAGTGCAGCAGGCGTGTTGGCGAGCTGGCTGGCAGCGCCGCTGGAGATGACGCAGCCAGCAGTATTGCCATGCTGCTGCTGCTTTTGCTGCTGCTGCTGCTGCTGCTGTTGCTGCTCTTGTTGCTGCTGCTGCTCTTTCTGCTGCTGCTGCTGCTGCTGCTGCTGTTGCTGCTCTTGTTGCTGCTGCTGCTCTTTCTGCTGCTGCTGCTGCTGCTGCTGCTGCTGCTGCTGCTGCTGCTGCTGCTGCTGCTGCTGCTGCTCTTTCTGCTGTTGCTGCTCTTTCTGCTGTTGCTGCTCTTTCTGCTGTTGCTCCTCCTGCTGCTGCTGCTGCTGCTGCTGCTGCTGCTGCTGCTGCTGCTGCTGCTGCTGCTGCTGCTGCTGCTCCTGCTGCTGCTGCTCCTGCTGCTGCTGCGCAGCCGCTAGACCTGCTGGCTGCGGCACTTGAATGCTCCTGGCTGCAACAGCCCGGGCCGGAACATCCGGCGGACCTGCTGCTGCACCCTGGACCGCGCCGCCACCGCGCCGCCCCTGCGGGGCCATGGTCGCCACAGCTGGGCCCAGCTGCGTGGCGGCGACATCACCGGGCTGCAGGGTGGCCCGGGCTGAGGCTGCCTGCTGCCTGTTGCCAGTGGCCGCTGACGGTTCCTGCGCTGCCGCCGCCTCCTCCTCCAACACCAGCTGCTGCCGCGGGGGCCCTGGCCGCGGCGACGCTGCCGCCGGTGCTGTCCCTGCAAGTCGTCCGACTCGCACGGCAGGCCCTGCGGCTGCTTGAAGGCTGGTTTGGCACCCAGCAGGCATGCTGAGCTCGTCCTCCTGCCCCTGTGGGATTTGGTGCGCTTCTTGCCCCTCCTCGATTTGCTGCTCTCGCACAACCTCCCGCACATTGCCGCCGGCAAGTGCCTCTGGCTGGCGTGGCTGCATGCACCGGCCCCGCCGGTCGCAGCCTGGCGCGGGCGCAGGTGCCGGTGCCGCCGGTGCCGCAGCTGCCGCCGCCGGTGCCGCCGCCGCCGCTTCTACCACAGCGCGATTAGCGGCGGCGGCGGCATCGTCGTAGGTGGCGTGCACTTCGATGGTGCCTGAGGCGGCTAAACGGAAGCGTGAGATGGTGGCGTTGGGGCCCAGAAGGTTCGTCCCTTCAGGTATGTAAAGTGTACATTTGGACCGGTTGTAGGGCTGCCAACAATGATAACAGCGAACAGTCCCACTGCGTGGCGCGCCGCGCGGCTGGCCGTCCAGTACTGCCTGCACGCTGACTCTCAGCGGGAAGAAGGCGTTCGGCCAGCAAGCTGCCACCATGGCAGCTGGCAGACTGAGCTCCCGCCGACGCCTCGTTCGGGGGTTGTAGCTGATGTGGCTGAACTGAAGTGGAAAGGTTTCGGATTGAAAGCAGGATCCCGCAGAGGGTTGCACAGTGCAAAGGAAAGCCTGGGGCACGGCCACTTGCAGTGCGTGACAACTGTTCAGTCAACTACAAGCAAGCAAGGTCACAAGTGCGCGCGGACCTCACCACTGGCCAGGTGTTTGACTCGAGGTCCTCCGGCTCCAGCTGGCGGCGCAGACCGCGGCGCTCTCCACCTGTCATTTGCCCCGGGGCCCGCACACTGGACAAGATTAGGTCTAGCGCAGCAGGCCCTGCTGCGCGCCGAAAGGCGGTGACGTCGCAGCCCTCCAGCTCAGCAAATTGCCCAAGGCCCTTGGTTATTTGGCGTGCCTTGTCGACGCGGCTGTCGAACCTGTGCCCCCAGGTGTGGCCGTCCACCTCCAGCTGCAAGCTGATATTGAGGGGCAGGGGGGCCCCTGGGAACCAGGCGTCCAGAAGCCCAGCTGGCACCCACAAGCGAGACAGTCCACTGGATGGCATGGCGGTGAACCTGTGAAACTGCATCGCAACGATGAGAAATGCAATGCATGAAGATACACATGCACGTGAACTTCGTAAGGTTCTGAGTGGTGAGCGTGGGGCGCTGCTGTCCAATCGCGGACCGCGGAGTGTTCATCACATAGTGGGCCCCAGTTGCCCAGGTCTCACCGCCTGCCAGAGACCGCCAGACGGCGCACTTGAGTTCTTGCTGCCGTCCGCCTGCAGTGGTGCCAGGCTGCTGTGGTTGTCTACTTACGGAAAGCGCTTCATCCAGCGCAACAGCCCGGGTCCTGTACGGCCTAGCAGACCCCTCCAACAGCCCACGCATGCCAATTCACGACCGATTGTTGCAGTGCTAGCATATCGCTGTGGTTGATGCTGCAACGCAGTGGCAATGCACACACTTGCACTTGCCAATGCAGCTTGCCCGCGTCATCAGCGCCCCACCTGCTCGCTGCCTTCACTGTCATCACTGTTGCCCTCCGCCTCGCTGGCATGGCTGGCCCCGCTCGCATCCAGATTGAACGCGCCGCTGCCACCGCCGCCGCCGCCGCCGCCGCCGCCCTTGTAGCTGGTTGCTCCACTGCTCCCAGGCACCGCCTCGGCCTCCCAGGGGGCCCGACCCCGCGCCTCGACGGCCGCGTTGCTGCGGATGCGCGCACTCGCGGCCTGCGCTGCCGCGCGCCGCGGCAGGCGATTCTGGTGCTGCGGCTGCGCAACGATCAGGTCCGAGGCGCCCTGATGCAGCTCTGTGTGATCTGAAAGCTGCTGCTGGCCTGGGCGGTCATCACCAGGCTTTGGCTCCAAAGGGGACTCGAGAGCGCCAAGCCGTGGGCGCTTGTGCGGCGGCGCTGCGATGGTGCTGCTGCGGCCGCGCACGTTGCCAGGCTGGGTATCAAGGCGCTTATCTTCATCTGAAGTCTGGCTGTGATTGCCGGGCATTGGTGCTGACGTGCAATCTCCGCAGCCTCGGAACTAAAATCATTCGAGGGACCTGGTGTGAAATGTGGGAAATGCAATCGTTTGTATGAATGTCGTGGATTTTCGCAGCGTTGGTTCTGTCATCGAGGATCAATGGGCGCGGACACATGTCAGACATGGGTCATCCCTCAGTGTTCGTGTGTACAGGAGAGCTGCGTGCGGTTATTAGGTGACACATGGACTGGCTCTTCCATGCCTACAAGCTTTTGCTACCACACAGATGCACATCTGCAGACTATTGCTTGCCTCGCAGTCCCCAGACGACTCGATAGATCTGTCCAAGAGAACCGCATCCTCGACTGCAGCGGACCCATGCAGAAGGACGGTCGTCACAACGCTCAAGTAGTTTACGACTTTGAAGTTGGAATTGATAAAAAAGGAAGACATGCAGCATCTCTTGTCTCAAGCCGCCAGCCCAGTGCAGGAAGCTATGAGTACTAACATGCCTTGTTGTATCGCATACATGACTTTGAACATCGTGCAAGCACGGTTGTCCATACACCATAAACTACTGTACATGCTTCCGCATGCAGACGAGCATTATGCAAGGTGCCACATGGGGGTCATACACAGCGCACTGGCCCCACCTTACTTGCGCGGGGCTGATGCAAGGGTGTGGAGCTGTACACTCATTCAAGGGAGTTGACAGGGCATTGCCCAGCCTGCAAAACAATTCACAGAGTGGCTGCACAGGGCAAACCCTGAACCAAACACGTCCAGCTAGCAGCCCCTCTTTGCCCTCTTTCCTAACGAGCACCAGGCCTTCCAGCCCGGCACTTGGGAGCTGCCTCCCGGCTTGGCCTGAACTGGGCGGCTGCTCGCCAGCCCCTGGCCATTGGCCAGCTGCCGCTCCAGCTCGACTCGGCCTGTGGCCAGTGCTGATCAGCCCCGAGCGCCATCCCTGCCCGTCCCAAAGTCGTATCCCAGCACACACGAGCTCATGACGTTGAAGAATTTCTTGAACGCCCCCGGCTCGTGCTTCGCCCCTTTTGGCCACCTGCATGCCCGCCGGCAGGCGAAGGCAACGAGCAGGCAGGCGTGGTGCATGTGAGCGGCCTTGCTTGCGGTCAGATGGGCTGCCTTTGAGGCAAGGAGCGCTGAGCAGCGGCGGCTCGAAGGGCTTTGAAACAAGCAGCGCAAACGAGGCCGCATGCCAATAATTCCTTCTGTCTGCACTCACCAGGCACGCACCCGTCAGCCCACACAGCACCCGCCCTGCAAGGGCCCAAACGTCAAGCCCAATACCCGCGCACCAGAGCGCCTCGTCGTCCCCGAACATCTCGTCGTCAAAGCCGTTGTCCTCGTCCTCCACATGAGCACCGCCGCCGCCGCCCCCGAAGGCGTCGAAGTAGCCGACAGTCCCGTCTGGGCGGCGCTGCACTCTCTGGTAGTCCTCGCGGTCGCACCCTTCATCCCTGTGGGGGCGCCAACGTGGCGGCGAGCGGTTGTTGCACGTGTGCAGCATGTGGGCACGGGGCGCGTCTGTTGCAGCTGCCAAAGTTGTGTGTGGCAGCACGGGCTGCGGGATGGCTGAAATAGCGCTTAGGACGTGCTTGGTTACTGGGAGTGATGCGATTGCACACCGGCCTGCGCACGTGCACCAGCCAGCCATGCGCGTTTTCACATCCACCCCTCCCTGCCTTTCTGCCCCCTGCATTTCACCAATCATGGGCGTCGGGTTAAGCACTAGCACCTTCTTGCCTTATTGGTCTGCAGCCACTGTGCGCCCGATGCACTGATCGCACGCAAGTCATGCATGCAGCCCGTTGTCAAATCCCTCAAAGCAGCCTGCCCTCCCCTAAATCGCACCTGTCCTCCCCACGGACCTCGCAGGCGGCCACCAGCGTGGCCGCGCCCTCCGCCCATGCCAGCGACTGCACCACCTGATTCCCCGTTGACAGCTCATACAGCGCCCTGCCCCGCCCGCCGCGCAGGTCGAACGCCCACACCGCCTCCCCCTCTCCGCCCGCGAAGCACACCATCGCGCCGCCGCCGAGCCCCGAGCCCGCCGGCGCGGCCGCGAGCGCGACGCCGTACAAGGGGTTCGAGCCGCCCGGCAAAATCGTCAGCGCTGCCGCGCCGCTGCGGGCGCTGTCGCGCACGTCCCATACCTTCACGTCCCCCGAGCGCGCAGCGCTCGCGAAGAGGTGCGGCGCGCGCCACGTGTCCGGTGCGGGCGCGAGCGCAGTGACATCGTACCGGTGCCCGCAGAGCAGCCGCTGCGCGCGCTGCGTCTCGAGATCGTAAATCGCGATCACGTAAGACCCGAGCGCCGCCGCCAGCCGCGGCGCGCCCCCGCCGCCGCCGTCTGCCAGGATGCACGTCATGTCGATCGGGCCGGACGTGTCGTCCCCGGCGAGCGCCAGCGAGCATCTTGGCGGCGGCAGCTGCAGGCGGCACATTGCGTGCGGCCGGACGCCCTTGGACGCCTCGAGGGCGTCGAGACCTTCGACTTCGCAGGATCTGAGGTCCCCATGGTACAGCTCGTCCTCGTCATCATCCTCGTCCCCGTCCTCGTCATCGTATAGGAGAATGAGATCGCCCTCGTGCAAGTACTTTGGCAGCCGCTCCTCCTCCTGTAGCGGCAGGCCGGCGAGCTCCCAGCTGAGCAGCGCGCCACCGCCTGCGTGCGTGCCGTCGGCGGGGCGGAGAGAATAGCCCATCTCAGCTGTCAGCCGCATGGCACGGGAGACGCACCGCCGAGGCAAAGGCGCATGCCGCCTGATGGACTCGCGGCAAGCATGGGGGATGCTGTCACAGCGGCACGAGCGCCTCCGCCCGGCAGGCCGTGCGGTGGACCGCATGCAGCGCACGGGCTCCTGCCAGCACCCCTGCCCCTCCACCCTTGCCCCGCGAGCACCCGCGAAATGCCGGTGCGGCCAGCTCACCCTTGATCGCCAACACGCGCGTGCCCCAGACGTGCAGCCCCGCGTGGCCGCCCGCCGCCCCCTCGCCGCCAGACCAGAGGGTATACTGCAGCACCGACCCTTCCCACCAGTACCTGCCAACGTGCCCGCCGCCCCCGCCGGCTGGCGCCGAGAACGCCTTGATGCGATCTCCGCCATCGCCGGCGCACCACACGAGCCCGTTGGCCGCATCTGCGGCGACGTGGGTTGCGGGCTCGTACAGACCTGCGGTTTGGGGGGCGCAGGGGTTCTTCAAGGAGCGTGCGTGTATGTGCTTCGGCCAGCGCATGGCGGCGCGGAGAGGGGCAGTGTCGGCTTCGCCGACCGCACGGAGCGTGAACCCTAGACATTGATTCACGAGCGCCGGATGGCGGCGCAAGGCGCCTGCGGCGGGCTCTTGCAAGCAGCGGCCTCCGCACAGCCGCGGCGGCCCACCCGTGCGGAAATCGGTAACGCCTGCCTCGGCTCCGTCTGGTTGCAGCCGCAGCGAGGCAACCCCGGGGTCCCGCAGCTCCCACCCGGTCGCGTGCGACGCGGCCACCAGCGCGCCGTCGGCGTGAAGCAGCGACGCCCTCAGCGACGACAGCTTGCGCACGCGGCAGCAGGCGGCGGTGATGACGTCATCGTCGGGGAGGGGCTCCGAGGGCCCCGCCGCCTCCGCAGCGCTGGCGTCGCGGCGCCGGCGTTTGAGGCTCGTGCTGAGGGGGGCGCTGACGGTGGGGGCCGCGCCGAAGGCGATGGGGGTGCTGTCCTTGAACACAGCTAGGGGGCTGCTGTCCGGCCTAGGAGGCGGCCTGGGCGGGGGATAGGGGGGAGCCGGGGGCTAGGGCGTCAGTGGGCGTGGGTGCAGCCAGGGCCGGTCAAACCAGTCAAAGCCGCGTGACACGACACGGGGCCGGAGGGTTGGCGTGCTTGGCTTTGCCGGTTCTTGTGCTGGCAGGTGCAGTGGGTCACTGGCATGCATCCGTCCCATGCGGGGCGGCCGCCCTCTGCGTGTTGATTTCAGACGCATTTGGATGCCCACAGCGGGCCCGTCGGATCTTGATGCACCCTTGCACGCGCCCCACCCCTAGCCTCCCCCCGACCAACCGACCTTGGCTCCTCCAAGGAGGGCATTAAGTGGATGCCCTCCATCATGCGCGCCCGCACCGCCTCCACGCTCATAAACCCTGCCTCCCGCACCCCGCCGCTGCCGCCGTCGCCGCTGCCGCTGTCGGCGGGCCCTATTTTTGCAAACATCGGCATCATGGCCGGCAGCAGCGCTGCCATGTGGCCCGCCGCCTGGCCGGCCTCCAGGTCCCCGCCGGCGACGGCGCACCCGTCGAGCGGCCAGGCTGCCGCTATCGCGCTCTCGATGCTGCCGTCGCCGCCGAAGGCATGGTTGTCGTTCACGCAGAGCAGCGCCTCGAGCGCCGCGGGAACCTCCAATTGCGGCGCCACGCCGCCGGAGTCGGGTGCGGCCGCAAGCGGCGGCGCGGGCGCGGGCTTGGACGCCGGCAAGGGCGCGTCGGCGTCGGCGTCGGCGTCGGCGTCGGCGGTTTGGCAGGAGCCGTCCAGGACGGATTGTACACAGCACTCGAGCATCGGGAGCGGCTGCGCACGGCGGAATGACTTCCGCCCGCGCTTCTGCCACACCGTCTTCGCAACGCGCCTCGCCGTGTCGCGGATGGCGCGGGCGGCGACCGTTGTGCACCTGCGGCGAGGCGGCGGCAGAGCAGGCTGATTGCTCGGTGTGTTCGGCAGAACTAAGTGTATCCGAGGCCAACCTGGGCTAGCGGACATCTCATCACAACACCTGCGCGCAAGCAACTGCTTCAATGAACGACATGGCCGTTCCGCCTGAGATTGACTCCAGCAGCCATGCCCCAAGACCGCTTTGCATAAAGACTTTGCAAGTCTCTTCAGGCGATCCAGTGGCCCAAGAACCGCCCCCTAAGGGCGACATTGTGATCGCACAGATCTGGTCGCGACCTACTTGTACACGCGTCGACTGCAAATCGAGGTTCAAACCGTTCAAACAGTCAGCCAACGATGGTCAAATAGATACGGGCCCACCTCGTGCGGTGCAACATAGATGTCACTCGGGTTACAACAGCGGCTTGCGCTTAGGATGCCATATCACGCACACAGTGCACAGGCTGCAGGATGTAGTTCAACTGCTGTAAGAAATGAAGTTCAATCAGGAACAAGGTGGCACAGTGAGAAGCAAGTAAGCCTCAACAGACATTAAGCTGCACAGCACCTTCGGCGCCACAACGTATGACACTTTTGACTGCAGGGGTCAGCTGGGGTGATCCCCTTGCGATGCGATGTCGGGTCGTGTTACAGCATGTGCAACCTTCCTTTTTGCCGTGCCCGGGCACCCTTCAAGCCTGGTGACTTGTTAGCCCCACCAATTACCCGCCAGGCTCATGCCTGACACTATCCAATGCCCGCCTCAACCTGTACAATCTCCCAGATCTTGCCCCATGGGTGTGGGTTCAACATTCCTTTCCCATCAGACGGGCTTTCCCATCAGACGGGACAGCAGGTCATGCATCCGAGCGTGGTAATGGCAGGCGCAAATCGGCAGCTGAACCATGTTGGGTGGGCAACACTGCAGCACAGCGCAGCAAGCGGCGTCATGTTCGTTGTATGCCCAGCACATGCCCCTACACGCTGGTTCCCCTGTGACCATGTCGCAAAAGGCATGGTATGAGCCATGCATGATACGGGGCATGCATGGGATCTGGCATCGGAAACACAGCCGGCAGCTGAGTATTGGTGGCACATGCGTGGCAATCATGAGGGGCGATCAAGGCATTGGGAGTGGGCAGCTAGCTAGTTGGGGTAGTGAGGAGACTCAGGACTCGCACAGATGAGTTCAAAACACAAGGGTGCAGCACGCGGAGAGGCGACACGGCATGCTGCTGGTGCGCGGCAGCACAGTCAGCGCAGCGCGACCGCACACTCATGAGATGGAAATCAACAGGCAACTCGCGGGTCGGCCCGCCGGCCTGGGCCCTGAAAGGATACATTAGGTGAGCAGCAAGGCCGGCCGCCGCAGCTACGCGGCAGCTTCAGGCCGAGCTGGTCTTCTTCTTGGCCGCATCTTTGATGGCCTTTGCTATGAGGGGGTCGAACCATTTGTCCGGCAGCAGCCGGCTCAGCACGTGCAGTACGACGGCCTTGGTGCCACAGATGTAGCGCGCGCGCGGCTTGGGTGACGTCAGCGCGTGGAGCACGGCCGCCGCCACCTCCTCGGGGGGGATGCCCTCCGACTCCATCTCGTCCGTGTGGTGCTGCATCTGCGATGAGAGTGACAAAGCAGCACGCACGGCAGAGTGAAAGGTGGGGCAGGGTCGAGTGAATGGTGGGGCAGGGGTGCGAAATAACACCCCCCCCCCCGCGTAGGGGGAGGTTGTGTGCAGAGGGTAGAAAATTGCAATGTTGGGTGCTTGGGCGCGTAAAAGCTGCGCCCAGTGGCCGTGCCGGTACATGCCGCGGCGCGACCCGCCGATAGAGGCGTTGCAGCCAGCATGAGCTGCCCTTACCTGGGGTCTGAAATGGGGTGGGGGGGGGGGAGGGGACGGACGGGCGGCGGCAGCGGCAGCGGCCGCCAAGAGAGCGCCAGGACGCGGGCAAAAGACCAAGGCGCGACTGTCGAGCAGCGCCGCGCACCTCTTCGATCGCCTGGGCGTACAGCCGCCGCCCCTCTTCCCCGATGTCCACCTGCTCGCTCCGCGCCTTGCCATGCTTCCAGATCTCTGCAGGGGTTTGTGCGAATAACACGCGGAAGGGCGCCAATGGGGCGAAGGTTTCCGGGCTGGCGCCCGGTGGCGCGTCCCTTGGCTGCCTGAATCATGGGCGTGCGCTCAACGCTCAGCAATAGCCTGCCATGCGCAGCTAGCCTTTAGCGGGCCATCCCACCATCCACATGTCTCCACATGTCTCATCATGCCGGGTTGCAAGCCCTGGCATCGCCCTAAGGGGGGCCGCCGCCGCAGCGAGCCGCGCCGGGGCGGCGCGGGGGCCCTCACGCTGGCGGCTGGCGGCCGCCAGGTCCCACACAGCCGCCCCCAGCCCCGCCAACCGGGCCTTGCGGCCGATCGGCCACGTGCACACACACGCACACGAACACGCGCACGCACACACACATACACACACACACACACACACACAAACACACACACACAAGCATGCGCACGCACATGCACATGCGCACACGCGCACACGCACACGCGCACGCACACACACATACACACACACACACACACACACACACACACTCCCTCGCCCTCTGCTTTCAACACATGCGACTTTGAACACATGCCGACCACCACACGGCGGGGCAACCCCACACCCACCCGTCGCCACCGGACCCGGCTTGATGATGGACACGAATATGCCTTGAGGCTTCAGCTCAAACCTCAGGGAGTCAGAGAGGGCCTCCAGGGCGCGCTTGGAGGCCGCGTAAGCCGAGTACATGGGCAGGGCGATGCTGCCGGCCTGCGGGGGCGGGCCGGGGCGAGCGAGGTGGTGTGCCTCAAAAGTGAATCTGGGAGGACGCCACCGTTCTCCGCAGCTTGCTACCAGCGTGCTGGCTGGCGCGAGGTCGCTCCAGCCAGGATTCAAAGCAAGACCGCGCTTGCACTTGTGAGTGCACCCGTGCACACCAAAACGGGCATGCGTCGCTTTTTCTAGCGCACCCCTCCGCTTTACAGGCACATTTCAAGCACGCGACGCAATTGCGCCCACCAGGCTGGACATGTTGACGACGCGGCCGCGCCGCTCCCCGGCGCGCAGCAGCGGCAGGAACGCCTGGACGCAGCGCAGCGCGCCGGTCGTGTTGACCGCCATTACCAACTCCCACGCATCCTCTTGG